ATACCCCCTTTCTGCTTTTTGTAAATTTTCACTTCCTTGGCTCTACAGAGCCCTCACTCACCCCCTCCCTATTCCCGAATTCCTTTAAGATGCTAAGTCATCTCTGTACAAATTAAAGTTGAATTCAGTTCACACTGGATTCTTTTCCCTATTACAAGAATATATTAATGATCAAAATCTGTCCTTTCTACCTTAACTAATTTATCTTTGACATGCTATACCCAGCAAGAAGACCCTTTAGGACTGAAGCTGAAATTAAGACATTCTCAAATGAAAGAAATACTGAGAGAATCTGTTGTCTGAAGACCTACCCTAAAGAATGGCTGGCTCAGCTGGCAGAGTGTGTGACTCTGGATCTCAGGGTTGTAAGTTTGAGCTCCAGGTTGGGTGTAGGGATTACTTTAAAGAATGTCTCAAGGAAGTTCTTCAAATGTAAAGGAAATGGTAAAAGGAGGAAACTTAAAACATCAAGAATGAAGAAAGAACAAAGAATAGAACTATAGGTAAATATAATAGACTATCCTTCCCCACTGGTGTTTTCTAAATTATATTTGATGGTTGAAGTATAAGTTATAACATATAACCTTGTCTGATGTAGTTCTCAGTGTACAGAGGAAGTATGGAAGACATTATAAAAGGGAAAGTAAAGACCTCAACAGAAGGCTTCTGTACCTCACTTGGAAGTGGCAAGATGTCAATACTGTGACTCATGTAGACTGTGATAAATTATGTATGTATAATGTAACCTCAGAGCAGTCACTAAAAACTGCACAAAGAGATACACTTGAAAACACCATAGATAAATTAAAAAATGGAATCCTAAAATATGTCCAAGTAACACAAGAAGTGTGGAAAATAGAACAGAGGAATGAAAAACAGAGGGAACAATCAGAAAATACAATGGCAAAATGGAAACACTAAGGCATAAATAATTATGTGAACTGGAAATGGCCTAAATACGTCATTTAACAGTGAGAGACCTGAAAAACAGAATACAAAAATGCGACCCAACTATAAGCCATCAACAAGAAATTCACTTCAAATATAATGACATAGGTAGGTTGAAAGTAAAAGGTTGGAAAAAAATATGCCATACCAACATTAGTCAAAAGACAGCAGAGTCTGCCATCTTAATATTGGATAATATCAGATAAAAGAAAATCACCAGGAAAAGAGGTTACATTACATAACGATAACAGGGTCAAATCGGGAGGAAGACAGTCCTAAATGTATAGGCACCAAACTGATAGAACAGAAAGGAGGAATAGACTCATACACTATCAGAGTTGGAGACTTTCACACATCTCTGAACAGCTGATAGAAATACTGGGCAGAAAAACAGCAGGATTTATAAGAACTTAACAAAACCATCAGCCAAAAGGATCTCACTGACATTTAGAGAATACTGCACCCAGCAACAGCAGGATACACATTCTTTTCAAGGGCCCATGGAATATTCACCCCAACAGACAATACCGTTAAGAAAGAAAGGAAAAAATAAAAAACAACCTCAAGAGACTTAAAAGATTTAAAGAGATTTCAAATTATACAGTGTGTATTCCCTTGACCACAGTGGAATCAAATAGGTCCAAATTAGTAACAGAAGGGTCATAGAAAAAAAATCTCCAGACACATGAAAAGTAAACAACATGCTTCTAAATAATCTATGGGTCAAAGTAAAAATCTCAACAAAATTTTTAAAAATTTAGCTGAATGAAAGTACAGAGTATCAATATTTGTGGGGCACAGCTAACTGGATGCTGGGAGGAAAATTTATGGCACTAAATGTTTACTTTCAAGGGAAGAAAGGCCTCCAACCAATAATCTAAGCTCCTGCCTTAAACTAGAATCAGAGGAGCCAAAATAAACTCCAAAGAACTGAAAATAGAAAAACAATATAGAAAATCAAGGAAACAAAGAGCTGATTCTTTGGAAAGACCTATAAAGTTGACAAACTTCTAACAAGACTGTCAATTTCATGAGTACAACAGAGGATATCCCTGCAGATTCCCAGCCATTAAAGAGATAATAAGGGACTGCTAAGAACAATTCTACACACATCAATCTGGCAATTTACATGAAAAGGACTAAATCCTCAAAAAGTACAAACTGCAAAAACTCCCCCAACATGAAATAGATCATAAAAATAGCTCTATAACTATTCAAGAAATTGAATTTGTAGTAAATGCAACACACACACACCTCTTAAAAAAAAAAAAAAAAAAGAAATATCCAGGCCCAGGTGGTTTCACTGGAGAGATCCACCCAACATTTATTAGAATTAAGTAGAAGAATTAATACCAATTCTATACTATCTCTTTCAGAAAAGGGAATAGGAAGGAACACCTCTCAACATATTGTAGGAGCTTAATATTACCAAACCTAGACAAAGACAGTGCCGAAACACAACACAACACAACACAACACAACACAATAGACATATTTAATCTCAGTTATCAAATTTGAGGGCATGGCGTTGTTCATGATACTCCTTTATTATCCTCTTGATGTCCCTGGGATCAATAGTGGTGGCCCCTCTGAAATTTCTGATATTGATAACTTGTGTCTTCTTTTTTTTCTTGGTTAGGTTGGCTAGAGATCCAGATCTGTTCATTTTATTTACCTATTCCAAGAACAATTTGTGGGGTTCATTGATTTTCTCTACTGTTTCCCTGTTTTCAATTTCACTGATTTCTGCTCTAATTTTTATTATTTTTCTTTGGCTTGAATTAGGCTTACATGGTCCTTCTTTCTCTAACTTTAGGGTATCAGACTGGCCAATTGAATGGGTGGTTCCCCGGGAAGCTGTGTTTCACAGGCTCTTCCAGTTACTGATGTGGCCAGCTAAGCAGACCCTTCAGAGCAGCCTTCGTCTCTCCCTGCTCTTTACCACAGCCCCCTCCCTGCCCTCATTTCCTGCCACCACTAGTCTCCCCTTCCCTCACCTCCTTCAGGTCTTTGCTCACATCTGATCTGGTTGGTGGATTTTAATATAGCAAACATTCTACCTTTGCTCCCCCACTGCCCTCTGCCCTACTTTTCTCCCCACACTTATTTCCCTCTGACAGGACAGTGGTGTGCTAGAACTGACTCATAAGGGCTTGCAAAAGCCCATTACACGTTTACAAACTCTGCTGGCTGGTTGTTAAGCCTAGCCATCATTAAAAAAAATCCAATTATACAAACTTAATTAAATTAATTATATTAAAAACAAAGGCAAAAAACGCTCAAACTCATCACTTCCTAATTGTTTGCTAACTTTAGCTATTTATTATCTATGTTCTTGAGTCTTCACAGTTGTAGAAATATATAATTGTACGCTACTACATATTTCCATTCAGTTCTGTATTCAATGACAGCCCATTGACAGCTTGAATTCACCCCTAGGAGTATTTACACCCAAAACACAGGTACATTATAAATCAGGTTTGATTTCTTATTCTGTTGATTGTCTACACCAGGGGTTGATCATGGCCAAATCCAGCCCAACTATTTTTGCAAATAAAGTTTTATTGCAACACAGCCATGCCTACTTATTGCATATTATCTGTGGCTGCTTTCACCCTACAGTGGCAGAGCTGAGCAGGTGTGACTATATGGCCTGCAAAGCCTGACATATTTACTGTCTTGCCCTTTACAGAAGAATTTTGCCGACCCACGGTCTACCCTTCACATCTAACAGAGGAGACATTAATAATGCAATTAAATATAACCACATAGGTTCTGTCTTCAGTTAGTACATTGTAAAGAGCACACACATGAAAAAAAATTGAGAAAACATACTTCCGGTATTTGAAAACTCTGATCCAATACAGCGAATAAGCTGATATGTCATTGATGAATGAGTGAAATTCCAACAGTTTTATTCTTTCACTTTTTTACTTTCTTCCTCCTGAAAATGTCACCATTTATGTTGGCGCTACATGGGTCCATCCATAACAACCACTGATTGGCTATGGATAGGGGTTAGGCAAAATCCAAGAAAATCCAAGAAAAGCATAGTTAAGAATGAACTGGCTCTTTGGAATTTACAATAAAGAGTGTTGTAGAATTTTATTATTTTATATTTCTATCTGTAGAATTTATAATAAACACACACACAGATAGATAAACACATTTGCTTTACAAGCACGCACACTGTTTTGTTTCCCCTCCACCAGAATGTAAGCTCTTTTATCCCAGTGCTTAGAACAACACCTGACATGTAGCAGGTGTGCGGTCAACATAGGACAGGAAAGAACAGAGGCGTATATTTGGGAACCCTTGGTTTCTATGCGTTGACTGTCAGACCTTAAATTTCCAGCTCCACCGTTATCCAGATGTGTGGCATTGAGTTAATTATTTAACCCCTTTGAGCCTTGGCTTCTTTATTTAAAAAGAGGAGACAATTCTCTTACCTCACAGGGAGGTGTTGACAATATATGCCTCCGCCTGGCACCTACTGAGTTTTTCCACAAATGGGAGATTCGTCCTCACCCTCCACCCCGGCCCCACACATACTCCTTGGAGACCCAGCCCTGGTGCTGTCACAAATTTCAGTGATGTCACAGCCCCCTCCCCACTATAAGCTGCAGCCCAGCCCTCCTGATGGCCAGCCTGAGTGCTGGCCGAACCGAGAGGGGCAGGGTGCAGGTGGTGCCTGATACCAGTCTTGCTCCCTCTGTCTTTGAGGCCTCACAGCCCCACTATGAGTCCATCAGCAAGGAAGAGGTCCAAGAATAGAATGGTTTCCAAGGTTGGACTTGGGAGTAGACAGAGGGGGTCCAACCACACCCAGAGCAGGGGCCATCCAGCCTGGGGGTGGAAAGGGAGAGGTGAAGGGTGAAGAGAAGTCAGGAGAGTTAAAACGGTCTCCCCATTTCTGCCCCCAAACCAAGACAAAAATCCCAGTCTAAGATTGGTCAAACCATGCTCAGCCAAATGGAAAAGCATAGTGGAGGTGTTCAGAGGGATTCCTCCTATATTAATGCTCTCACTCTCTCTCTCTCTTTCTTTCTCAGTTACAAGATGAAGAACCACAGGACAAGATACTGCAACCTGTCAGCAAAGCAATTAAGCGGAACCGACTTAAGATGGTGAGATGCCCCATTTTGGTCCCTCCTAGTGGCCAGGCTTCTAGTGACCCAGAAGTTACCAGGCCCAGCCCTGTGCCGAGTTGAGCCAAAGTCTGGGTGGGTTGCGGGAGGCTATAGAAAGCTGAAGCTTCTCTTTCCCTTGTTTCTCGACCCTGGCAGGTATTTAAAAAATTGTCGCTCTTGAAGCTGCTCAAGAGCTCGAACCCCCGGATCCAAGAACTGCATAAGTTGGCCAAAAGGTGTTGGAATTCACTGCTCAGAGTTCCGAAAATCCTTGGGATCTCCGCCAGGTGAGCTCGGCCCAACCCGCCCCCACCACAGACCCTACAGCTATCTTTACTAGGAACAGGCATAATCTATCTATGCTAAGGAATTAGGAAAACCTAATGTTTACGAAGGCTCTGTGAGAAAGGTATCTATTAGCCCTATTTTACTGACGGGGAGCTGAGGCTCAGGAGATAAAGTGACTTGTCCCAGCTACCTGAACTGGTACGTGTCAGAACTAGGATTTGAAGCCATTCCTGTGTGATATCAGAGCTGTTGTCCTAATCATGGTCACAACCACCCAGTTATGGGACTAACCACCAGCCCAGGTACCACCGAAGCAAGAGGGGCCACTCATCCTCCTCACCCTCAAGCCCACACAATGCAGGGAGATTCACCTGCAGACCAGTCATATTAGTAAGGCTTGGCTTCCTCATAAATCACATCAGAATATTAAGAAAGTTGACATTAGGCATCTGCTGAGTGCCAGCTATATGCTAAGCACTTCACAAGCATTTCCCAGTTACTTAATTATTCACCGTTAGGTAGACAGAATTATCCCAGTTTTACAGATGAGGAAACTAAGGCTGTGAGAGGTTAAATTTCTTGCCCCAATAACAAGAGGCAGAAGCAAATTTTTTTGAAGTCCAGTTTGTCGACCTTGAGAGCCTGTGCTGGCCAAGCCACTCAGCCACTTCACTGCCCCCTGCTTTGGGGGACTTGTATGAGAGTCCTCGGCCTGGCATGTAGTGGGCATTCAAGCCACCATGGTGGCTGTTAACAGTACTGTCACTATCTTGAGGCTGAGTCCTCACTCTGGGCTAGGACAGGGCTGCCATTGTGCAGAGGACCCAATCTATTATAGACGCCCTAGGGGAGGGTCTCCTGCTAGCACTGAATACCTCTGGTTAACACCCCTTCCCTGGGCTCCTCACTCTGGCCTCCTAGATGCCAGCAATCAGGGAACACGGAGCTGGCAAGGCCAGGCCTATCTCGTCCCGTAGTTTTAAAGCAAAGCAACAGAACCTCTCTTCAAGCCCCAGCTGTGTTGTTGGGGGGAAAGGTATCCTGCCTCACCCTGCCCCTCCCAGGATGGAGAGGGCATTTGAGATTCCTCCTCAGAAGCTTAGGTTTCTTGGAACACAATTTGAAAACACTGGACTCGTTCATCCCGTCACCTGCAATCCAGAAAGGAAGAACTCTAGCCAGCGGCCCATGCAGACAACATACAGTCCTCGGGGTCCTAACCACCAGTCCCGGCCTCGCGCCTTCCCAAGCTCTCCCGGCCCTTCGCCAATCCTTATCACATCCCACGCCTCCGGCCACATCCCCCGGTGGTGCAGCTTCTTTTCTGGTCCTCTCTAGCTCTGCCCCCTGAGCTGGCCGCACAGCAGCTCTCTGAGGGCTGGAGGGTCAGGGCCTAAGTCCCGCTCTGCTGACTGTATTCCTTCCCCCTGCCAGGAGCAGCAATGTCTGCGAGACGGTGATACGAGAGAATGAAGAGCTCCCAGGGGCCACGTGCCTGGAGGAGACACCAGAATCCAGGAAATCACAGCCCACAGGGGAGCTCAAGCTGGAGCTGGAGGAGACGAACAAGGCACAGCAGTCATCCGGAGCTGTGCCCCAGAGTGAAGAGAAGGTGGAGCCCGAGCTCCCAAGGACATCGAAGGATCACGACCTGACCACTTTCCCCGGAGCCCAGGGAAGGCAGTCGCCTAACGGAGACCTCCGCCTCGTCTTCCTGAAGACCTACCAGCACAAAACTCCCGCGGGGGACAAGCAGCAGCCCGAGGCAGCTGAGCAGTGGGTCTGGTTTGAGGGGCTGCCCACACGAATCCATGTCCCGGGGCCTCGAGTGATGTGCCGATCGTCAACCCTGCGCTGGGTCAAGCGCTGCTGCACCCGCTTCTGCTCTGCATCACTAGAGCTGCCCATGTGCCACGTGTACAGAGTGTGACGACACCACTGCCAGGCCAGTGTGAGGCATGGGCCCAAGGGAGGCCTGGAGCTGGGTCCCAGCGGCAGAGGCCCAGACTCTTGGGGACTGTGGCCAGCAGTGCTGGGGGGCTCCTTCTTTGTGCCCAGAGAGTCGGGGGTGGGGGGAGCCATTGACCAAGGCCACACGGCTGGGAGAGGGCTAGGCTGGGGCCTCTCAAGATCTAAGTAGGAGCTCTGGGGAGGGGCACTGGAAGGGGGGTTCTGAGGAGCGCCATCTCACTGCCTGGAGGCCTCAGGAGGGTCCACAACTGCTATGGCCCAGAGTCTCAGTCAGGAGTCCCAGTAAGGGACTTCAGGGATTTCCAAATGTTGGGGGGAGGGGGAGCAGTCAAGTAGATCTCTGCTGTATCCTTTCCTCTCTTAGACCAAACCATCACCCACATTTGTTACGTTTATTCCTGCTTCAAATAAGATTGACTCTGAACAAAAAGTTCCTTAGCAAAAAAAAAGAAAGAAAAGAAAAAATACTCCAGCAATTGAGGTCCCAAGAGAGGAAGGCGTGATGGGCTTGGGGATCCAGCCGACAGGGAGGCTTCCCCTTCGCAAAACTCCCACCAACCACCCCCACCTGCTGGCCTTCCGGTGCCCTGGTCCCTCAGGCCTCTCCCGGGGCGGCAGCGCCTCCTAGCGGCCGTCTTAGCTCCTAACACCAAGGTCTCTGCTCACAGGTGGTGTGGCCTTGGACCGGAGCCAGAGGGGTGAGGCGACAACGGAGATGGCAAAATCATCTGAGCAGGAGGGGTGGGCGGGAAAATTCACGAGTCTACAAATAAAATCTCCCATAGGGAACTGAAGAATATTACCACCAGCTCTTCCTGTTTGGGGCTGGAAAGGATGGAGGAAAGAGGCCCTCGGCGGAGGTGGAGAGGGAAAGATGTGCATCACGATTTTGCGTTTCTTCCACCCCATTCCCGGGCCCCTGTAGTCAGTCTAGAACGTGGCACACAGAAGCCAGCGAGCTGCACCCCTCCCCACCTCTGTGCGCGGGCCTCCGGAAGGATGCACTCTATGAAGTCACAGAATGGGAACATCTGTCGGGTGTTTTCCGGGTGACAGGTACGTCACAATGACACTGCAAGTCAAGATGAGGAAACTGTGACTCCGAAACGGAAGGTGATTTGGCCAGGCGCACACCATTAGGCGGGGGCGGGGACCGAACTCCAATCTAGAACTGCTGGCTCCTCCCATTCCATCTTCGGAAGAAAGCAAAAAGCACAAGGGGGCATCCAGCCCCTATTCAAGTGCATTGCGCCCCGGTTATTGCAGCGTCAGGTGTCAACAAATGGGCAGCAACTGGGCCTCGAAATGTGTCCAGCCTGGGTCACGGAAAGCACCCAGCCATGCCCAGAGTCGTACTTCTCTACCGCTCCCGCGTGACACGACATGCCCACGCTTCGTCCCAAACCCGTGTCGCCCTCCGTCTGCAGGAGCCATAGCCCTGCACACGCAGTTGGGGAGAGGAAAACCCAGGGAGCCGGGGCTTTCTGGGGATCTTCCCGTAGAGGCGGGCTGCGCCATGTGGCACCCTCAAGAAGGCAGCGCAGCGACCGAGGGGCGCAGAGCCCTCCCGGGAGGGCCCCAGGGCGTGGTCGCGAGGCCCAGATGCGGAGGGCGGGCGAAGGATGGGAGGGGCTCCCCGGGACCCGCTCGCCTGCACCCTCCTACGCCCCAGCGCTCCCCTCTAGCGGGCCTCGCGGGCCTGCACCCCACAAAACGGACCGCGGAGCCCTGGGCGGCGGCGCGGCGGGGCTGCTCCGTGCCGCCCAGCTCGGTCGGAGAGCCGGTGCCTGGACGCCACGCGATCCCCACTCCCGCCTCCCCTACCTCTAAGTAGCCACTCCCCACGCCGCCTCCATCCCGCAACCTCCACGCCAAGCTGTCTCTCTCCGGCCCACTTCCTGTGTCGTCGCCGTTTCGGTTCTCTTGCTGGACATCCTCAATCCCATCAGTCTTCAAAAATCACCCCCACTCGATCTTTCCCCCCAAACCCCTTCTATTTCATCAACCTTCGCCTGGAGGTCTGTCCCATCTGTCCGTGAACGCCGTCCGCAGGCAATCAGGGCAGCGCGCTCTCAACCCAAACACACGGTGCTGGGGACCCCCTGCACTAGTCCTCGTGGGAGCCCGCCCAGGGAGCCCCAAGTGGGGAAGGCGTGGGCCTGGGCAAGACTGGCAGCTACCGCGCTGCCACACAGGGAGCCAGAGTTGGGCCCGGGGTCAGCCATCTGATGGACTGTGCCTGTGTGCTGAGGCTGGGATCCGTCGTGTGCAGGGCACCGCTGGGGGCCGGGGTGGGGGCGGGGAGGCAAGGATGCAGGCACTTGGGACTCCGGCAACGTGCCTCCCACAATCCTACAGTCGGTCCGTCCCCTTACCACCCTTCCCTGTGCCTGACCACTTCAATCTGAGGCTTCTCTTCTGGGCTCAGTTAGATCCTGCTTTTGGCGGGGCAGGAGGTGCAACAGATCTCAGAGATCACAAACCACCCCAGAGATGGCTCCCTACCAGTTAACTGGGAGAAAAATTAACTTTAGAGTGTTAGATTCAGAGTGACTTTTAAGAAGTCACATGACCTCTCTGAGCCTATTTCATCTTTTTATAAAATAGGGATACTAATGTCCATTCCAGAGGGCTCTGAGCAAATCAGGCTTCAGGTAGGTGAAGCAAGTTTGTAGGGTGTTGAGCAAAATGTCTGTCGTTTTTTTCCTGCCTTCTTCCTGGCCCTGTGCCAACATACAGCCCCTTGTTTCTCACGCATGAGCACTTACTTAAGGTAACTAGCTGCTTGTTAAAAAAGCCAATCTTAGGTTCACTTTCACAACCTTTGGATATAATGACACTTTAGATTCCAGAGACTGTCCATCTCCTACACTGGACCACCTGCCACGAAACATGATGGGAGGTGCAGAGGACGAGGCTGTTGAGGCCTCATCAGCTCTGCTCTGCCAGGGAAAGTTGTTTACTCCTGATCTTCAATTTCTTTGTCTGCAAAATGGGGAAATAATGGTGCCTCGCTCATTGGACCAAGTGAGAATAGGTCACTCTGCAGTGCATGGCACACAGGAACACAGTGCTCGGGAGGCACACCCCCATCACGGGCAAGCCTATGCCCACGTCTAACAGCTGAAAACGCTGAGGCTGGGAAGAAAGGTGCCTCCTCTGTAAAAGGAGGAGAGACGGGGCAGTGGCCCAGTCACTGTAACTGCTTAGATTTCTGGATGCCAGCCACTGGCTAAATGCTTTACACCTATCTCACTGAATCCTCACAACACAGAGAGGTGTATCTTATTCTCATTTTACAGACAAGGAAACTACGGTAGGGGGAGGTTAAACAGCTTATCCAAGCCTCACGGCTAGTAATGTGACCCAAGACTTCACCCCGCACTCCGGTGCGGCTCTCTGAAGCCATCTAGCCTCGGCCCCTACAATTCTGCCTTGCCTGGGGAGTGGCAGGACAGGGATCCAAACTCTGCAATCTCTACCCACTTGGGGCTCAGTGCTGTTTTCACCACCAGTTGCTACTTTCCTACAGAAACCTTCAAGTAGGGCTTTAATTCCCTCTCCACAGAGGGCCTCTTTTTTGCCCCGAATCTGCCCCCACTTCCCGTGCCCAAGGCTCTGTGCTCCTTGTGCTCCGGATACAGGGAGGAGAGCACGCCTGTGCACGACTGGCCCTGGGGACTACCCGAGGAGGCCACTCTGACCTGAGAGTCACTGTGCCGTCTACGAAACTCTGCTTCCGCGGGGGCTGTGCACCTCATGGGATTCCCGGGTGCCTGGAGCTTCCCACCCCACCGCACCCCACCTGCTGGCTGCCATCCCGGCCCCCATTTAGCTGATTTGGAAAGAGCTACCTAGAACTAGGGGTTTAGGGGCACCCTCTGAGTTAGACATCCCTTTCTCCATTCCCATCTTCCTTCTGGGTCATACATGATTCTGAGCACCTCCTATGTACTAGTCTCCACTTCTCTTCTCCAAATGGAAGTTGGGAAGTGGCGGGGGAGGGGGTGGGGAGGAAGAGAGGCCCAGACTTTAGACCGCTAGAAAGTCAAGAGAGAACACCATCTCAGTGGCTGAGTGGAGGTAACTTTACCCTCTGGAAATAAAAACATTTCCCGCAGTTATCTGTTCGTTTGGAAATGTGGCCATATTTAATACACTGTCTACCAGTTTTTCCTAGAAAGCTCACAATGTTAACAAAGCGCTACATATCCTTTGTATTTGAAACAATACAGCAGGACGCAGAGGTATAATTATAAAGTGACAGACTTGCACGTCCTTTAACTATTAATGTCTTCAGAATGAGATTCTTGTCAGAACCGGAGCCCAAATCCTGGGTCTGCCAGCTCCTAACACATAACCTTGGGCAAATGCCTTAGTTTCCTCATCTGTAAAATAGAGACGATACTTCCTATTTCCGAGTGTTGCTGTGAAGATGAAGTGAGCACCATGTAAAGTACTGAGCCTACGGCTGGACATCTATTAAGCACAGCTCCTTATTACTAAAATGACAGACATGTTCTTGCCACTGCCCAGTTCTCTCCAGGACTTGCCTCTAGACACTGCTTTTATTGTTACTTTAGAAATCGTAACAATTTCATTAAGGTTACGTATTTTTCACCCCCAACTGTCATTCAGCTCAGTCACTGTATTGTTAGAGGAAAGAAACTGGCTCCCGACTTCTGGCAAACTTTGGCAAAACCAAATTACCATTCAAGGGGCAAAGGTTCATCATTACAGGAGATATGCAGAAGAACAGGCACAGAAAAACAGACACAGGACTCTGAAGGAAACTCCCAGAGAGGTGAGCCAACCCAGCGGGGGCAGCCACCCAGAGCTGACCAAGGGAGCCAGCGGCCACATGACATGCGCTCTGGTGCCCTTCCCGAAATAACATCAGCCACGTGCCTTCATGGTTTGCAGTGTCTGGGAGAAATCCACCCACCCAAGGGGAGTCTTCCCCATTGGTCTTACCTCCTGGACCCTGCGGCCAGGATCCGAGTCCCATTAACAAGCTGCTCCCTTCCAGCCTGGCCTGAGCACCGAGTGACTGAGGCGCCTCACCCTAGCCCTTTCCCCATCTCCACCCAGGCACATTCACTCTTAAGCCTTCATCCTGACAGCCTCCCCTCCCTTCTCTGCAGGACGTGGGGGGCCAGGAAGTTAGAAAGGCTTCCCGGGCAGAGAGCAAAACCCATTAGTGAAGACCGTGAGCTGCAAGCTGACTGCTCCAGGGCAGGCTCTGGGGGACCCAGAGAGGAATGCTGATGGCTACAACACACGAGTGGGTCTAGACCAAGTGTGTTCCACGGGACACACTCAGAAATGCCTGGCAAGAGAGAAAGGACACTGAGTCATGGCAGTTCACCCAAGACACAGCAGAGGAGGCTGCAGATGGAGGGAAATGGGACACAGGAGCTCCCCGCACTTAGAATTTTAACTGAATGGAATAATAATCTGTGGTCTAGGAGAGAAAGTGACCTGATCATTCGTTATAGCTCCCCGTCCGACTGTGCGGGTCTCCCGCCGGCCCAGCTGCGGCACTACAAAGCATTAAGCACAGGCAGAACAACGGAAAATACTGTATTTATGTACACAGGAGGGACAGCTGCAAGCCCCAACAGAGGGCAGGCCACCCCAAAGAAAAATCTTAGCAGCAAATTCCTAGCTCCCTCAGCACTCCCAGCATAGCTCAAGTTGGAAGGCCGGGCCTCCCATCTCTCGGCGCCCGTCATACCCTTCCCGCTGCAGAATTCCCAGCGAGGCAGGGAAAAGGAACTACTGCCAGA